CGCTTCTGTATTCTTTTCTGTAGATAAATCCTGTCTTACCACTGATCTGTGGTCTGCGGATTCATTCTTTGAATCACCGAGACCAAGAACCTACTGAAGAGCGAAATTCTGGTATTAACTGTGAGCTGTGACACCATGGTACTCTACCAAGGGTCACATACTAAGACTCTGTCTCAAAAAAAAAAAAAAAAAAAAAAAAAGTAACATAGGATTCCACTCCCAAAGGGCTTACAGTCCACAGGAAAAGACAGACATGTTTGTTTGTTTGTTCAGAGACTTAAGCTGTAGCCCTGGGTAGAGTGCTATGGCTCACAGCAACCTCCAACTTTTGGGCTCAAAGGATCCTCTTGCCTCGGTTTTTCTTTCTTTCTTTTTTTTTTTTACGTAGAGACAGTGTCTTGCTTTTGCTCATGCTGGTCTAGAACTCAGTAAGCTCAAGGAACCCACCCACCTTGGCCTCCCAGAGTGCTAGGATCACAGGCATGAGCCACCACCTGGCTGAGATGGATGTGATTTAACATGACAGTGCTGCTATTTGTTAGAGACACAGTTGGGGAGCACTTGATCCACCCCCAGTCTGATGTTGGTGCCCAGCTGGAGACTATAGACAAATGCACAATGGCCAGACCACAGATGGTGACAGAATTCTAACCCATGCTTCTGCAAAATACAGTCCACGGACATCAAACCACAAGATCAGCAGCCATCAGCCCAAAACAGGACTGTCACTAACTACCCTCTGCTTCCAACTCAGGACCAACCAGAGAAAGACAAATATGCTCTTCAAACCAATCACCTAAGACATCCCGCTTCTAGTTAACCTGCTTTCAGCTTCCCCAAGCCTACAGCCTCTAGCGTACCCAAAGCCTTCCATTCTTTCCACTCTAAAGGTTTCCCACTCCCCTGCTTGCCTCTGAGTGTCTGCCAAGTGCAAGTGCAGCACCTGCCTTGCTGCAAGCTCTGAATAAATAGCCTCCCTGGTCTGTGCTCATTTGGGTGGTCTTTATTTCCACAAACCTCAGTTCTTCTATGTCCGGTGATTCCTTTCTTCCTCAACTTTATAATTCTTTCTTGTGTGTCTCCTTCCCCCGCCCCCAGTGACAAAGGGGCTGTGTCTGAATGTGACATCCTGCAGAGCACGTGCACTCCTGGAACTTCCAGAGCACGGAGGGGCTCCCAAGGTGCTCTTCCGCTCACCCACCCACCGGACACTTTCCTCACTCGGTGTAATAAGCCCATCCCCTCCTGTAAGCATTGGGTTCTGCTTTGTAGTCCCAAATCCTAGCATTTAGGAGGCAGTGAAGACATTTATGGAATTGCTAGGGCCACTGAAACCTAAGGTTAAGTTCTAAGTTTCTCACAATATCAATTATCCCAAAACTCCAACTCCTGAGGTAGAGAAATCCTCCCCTTACAATCGGTCAAATCCAAGCTTTCCTCTCCTTCAGTGAAACCCGGATTCCCCCTCTGCATTCCCATCCCCTGCCTCATGGTCCTGCCACCTCACCTCCCTCCTGCCAGCAGGCACAAGGGCAATATATGCCCATGGGTCAGTACCCAGCTGACTGTTTCTGCACCCTCATCGCCACTTCTCTCTGGTCTAGCCACTTACCCTCCTCCTTGCTGGCCTCCTCTTAGAACTAACCTGCAGTCTTCTGCTGAAAGCTGGCCACCATGACGGTTTGGGGGGGACCGTGGTGGCTGTGGATTCCACGGCCCCTCCCGGAGCCCTTCTGCATCTCTTCCCTGCAGAACACATTCCATGGGGTTCTGACGGCACCGACCAGCACCCTTACAAACCCAACCACTACGCACTTTATTTCTCCATGTTACAGACTGCAAAGTCACTGAAGTCTGAGACATCACCAGCAGGTCTGGTCAGGAGACTAGGGAGGAAGGCCTACCCCCCAATCCTGAGGGCAGGCATGAAGGCCATGCTTCAACATTTTATTCCATAGACTTTTTTCTTTTGAGACAGAGTCTCACTCTGTCACCCTGGGTAGAGTGCCATGGCATCACAGTTCACAGCAACTTCTAACTCTTGGGCTCAAGTGATTCTCTTGCCTCAGTTTTTCTATTTTTAGTAGAGACAGGGGTCTTACTCTTGCTCAGGTTGGTCTTGAACTCGTAAGCTCAAGTAATCCATCCACCTCAGCCTCCCAGAGTGCTAGGATTACAGGCGTGAGCCACTGCACCCAGCCATGTTCCATAGACTTCTATATTGCTGAAATCTTTTGATGTCTGTAATTATAAATTCTTTTTTCTTTTTTTTTTTTTTTTAGAGAGAGTCTCACTTTATCTCCCTCGGTAGAGTGCCATGGCATCACAGCCCACAGCAACCTCCAACTCCTGGGCTTAGGTGATTCTCTTGCCTCAGCCTACCAAGTAGCTGGGACTGCAGGTGCCTGCCACAATGCCCGACTATTTTTTGATTGTAGTTGTCATCGTTGTTTGGCAGCCCAGGGCTGGATTCGAACCCACCAACTCCAGTGAATGTGACTGGCATCCTAGCAGCTTGAGCTATAGGCACTGATCCAGGAGTAATGGCTTTTAAGAAGTTGAAGATTTTCTCCAAAATTCCTTTGTAACCTACAATAAACTGAATTGTGTCCCCCTAAAATTCTTATCTAAAGTCCTACCCCTCCATGTGACTGTATTTAGAGAGAGGGTCATTAAGGGTAAATGAAGTCATAGGGACACAGTAAGATCAGTGACCCTATAGGAAGAGGAGACATGAGGAATGTGATTCCCTAGGTGAGGACACAGCAAGTAGACAGATGTCTGCTAAGCTGAGGAGGGAGGCCTCAGGAGAAAGCAACCCTGTCAGCGCCTTCACCTTGGACTTCTAGCTTCCCTTTAACTCTGAGAAGGTGTAACTGTTGCTGTAGCCACTCTGCCTGCAGGACTTTGTTAGGGCACCAGAGATGACTAACACCTAGCCCAAGGTCAAAAGAACTGGCCTTTTTAACACTTATAAGAGACATTTAATATACAAGACATATTTAAGTTACAAATCTAAGATATGTAACACCAAGGAAATATGAGGACAGCAGGCATGACTTATATATAAGGAAGTAGAAAGGATTTAGACCACAGGTAGGATGACGTGTAGATTTAAGGAGCTAATTAAGCTGGCCGCAGGCAATGATCTGGACCAGGTGTCCTCAAACTATAGCCTGAGGGCCACATGCAGCCCACCTAGGACATTTATCTGGCTGCTGGGTGTTTTTGCCGCCCCTGCCTGTCCTGCTTAGCAGCCGACTGGTCCCAGGGCCTGCAGCCTGGCCTTCCAACGGTCTGAGGGACAGTGAACTGGCCCCCTGTTTAAAAAGTTTGAGGACCCCTGATCTGGACAGACAGCAGAGAGGCACAAACACAGAGGCAACATCCAATTCAAACAATACTTGGAGAATTTCAGATTCAGTGGAGTCCAACGGTATTTTCCACAATGTGTTCCCAGGAATAGGAAAGACAAAGTGAATTTCCTGGTAAAAATTAGGTTCAGAAACACCAGGCAAAGTACAAGTTGGCTTTCCTGTGGGACTTTCAGAGCTTCATGAAGCTCCAAGAGGGGTTGTAGCATGCAGTGTTTCTCAAACCATTCCCTGCCCCATGTGTGAAGTTATCTTAAGCAATGAATCTTCCTTGGAAAACAAGGAAGAGCCGACAGATCCAGGGAAACTTGGCTACCTTGAGTGACGTACCCCTAACTATCAGGTTGATGTCAGCCGGGACTTGCTCAACTCCCCTGCTGTTGCACCTGACAGATGGCCTATAAGGGGTGGGTAAAAAGGATATGGCTCTTACAGACCGAATGAGTCCCTCCAAACTCCGTATGCTGAAGTCCTAACCCCCAGAGATGTATTTGGAGGCAGGTCCCTTGTGAGGTCATGAGGGTGGGGTCATAAAAATTTTCCCATAACGGGATTCGTGTCGTTAGAAGAGACTAAAGCACTCCCGACCCCACCCCTCCCAGACATGTGAGGACACAGTGAGAAGGGGGCCCTCAGGAGGAACACAGTCAACCAACACTTAATCATGGACTTCTGGGCTATGAGAAATAAGTCTGTTGTTTAAGTCACCCAGTCTACGGGATTTCATGGCAGCCTGAGCAGACTGAAGCAGTGACTCTGGAGCTTTTTAACTGTGCTTAAGAAGTTCCTCTCCAGACTTCAGTTTTCCTTTCCATGAAGTAAGGACAGCACCTATCTGCAGGAGAGGTTCCGCAGACCGTGTGCAAGAGTAAGTGGTGAGCGCTCAGTGTGGGGGGCACTTGGTCCCCATCGACTATGACGCAGAGGATCAGTCTCCCATAAAGTGATTTTCCTCACTCAGACTACTCCCAGTAATTTAAGACAGAGGGAATAACGGAAAGCCAGAAACACTGGCCACTGTTTCCTTCCTTTCTTTTTAAAATCTTTTTTAGAGACACGGGCTCACTCTGTTGCCCAAGCTGGAGTACAGTGGAACAATCCCAGCTCACTGCAGCCTCGAACTCCTGGACTCAAGTGATCCTCCCAGCTCAGCCTCCTGAATGGCTGGGACTATAGATGCACACCACTATCCCTGGATAATTAAAAATCCCTTTTTTGTATAAACGTGGTCTTATATTATCAAGGTTGGTCTTGAACTTCTAGGCTTGAGATCCTCCCCTCTAGGCCTCACAAAAGTGCTGGGATTACAGGCCTGAGCCATTGCCCTCAGTCAGCCAGTGCTTCTCAATTTCTCTCTCACCAGAGGTGGTGGAAGAGAAGTTCATCTCTGCTCATCTCAGGCCAAATCCCACCGGCCTGCCTCGGTTAGAGGGCAGGTGTGCGCTCCCCTCCAGCCCCTACTCCTTTAAGTACATTCCTCAGGCTAACCTGGCAACCCCCTGGAGCCGCCCTCCTGAACAGCTGCTATTTACAGTTGAAGACCCTTTAGGTTCAAAGAAAGATGAACAGCAACAGAAAATAACAAAAACCTTTATTTTCAAGTCTCTATACTAGTGTCAACTAGCAGTTGCCAACATGAGGTAGTGTCTCCCTACAACCCTTAACTTCTGAATTGTTCAACATATTACGAACACAAATATATCAGCTTAAGGACTAAACAAGTAGTTTTTCTATAAAGGCCACTGGTTACACCAGGAAGGCAGCCAGCTCTCCGCCCCTTGGTGCCCCTGTCCCAGGGGGAGCACCCAGGCAGGAGCTAAACTCTAATCAGCAGATCCGAGGGGAAACAAGGAAAGAAAACCCCACTTTCCTATTCCTCGGAGTTTCAGAAATAAAACACAACATCTGCAAAGCACTGTTGGAAGCAAAGCATTCTCCGACAAGCTCTCGTTTTCCCTGTCCTGTCACAGGAGCTTTTTCCCTCACCTCGGGTCATGGTTCTTCTCATCTTTCACAATGACAGAATCGGACAGGAAGAATTAACTGAACTAGAAAAGGAAAACATCTAACCTTCTGAGAATCCTGCTCAGACACAACTCCAGTGAGATGAATATGAACAATATCAACGCCCCAACGCCCCCTCCTCTCTACACACTCAGGCATCAAGTCCCCAGAAGGCAAGATTCCCTGAAGAGGGTCCTGAATGCCTTAGGAGAGCTGGGACTCCTCTGGCTTCTCAATGGACAACTGGGGCTGGCAATGCGGGCACCACCAGGTGAGCCTCTGGAACCTGCCGGGGGGCCCAAGTGCCTCCTTCATGACCTGGTGCCCAGCAGGGCAATGTTCTTTCTGGTAGATCTGTTTGTGCTGGGATATGCCTTGCAACTTGCCCTGAAGCCAGCCTGTACTGAACTCTACCACATAGTCCACCAGAGCCTCGAGACGCGAAGGACTCAGGAGCGAACCCAGAGCCAGCGGGTGGATCCCAGCTCTGTACAAGGCTTCATTCTTAATGATGTTCCCTGAAAGAAAACAGGGGGAGGATAAGGGAAGGAAACGGGGCACACACCATGTGAAGCTATCAACAAGTAAGCCAAGCCAAGCCAAGCCAGTGTGATAGGAGCAGGGAGGCTCACTAGCAAGGCCAGAGTCAGCTCTGCCTCAGCCTGGGGGTCCTGGCCAGGTCGGCAATCTGAGTCAACTTCCCTGTCTACAGAATGGGTTTGGACGTTTGTTAAGATGAAATAAAACTCAAGCATAACCCATACCACAGCTAAGGGGTTATCAAACAGAGCCCTGGCTCCAGACCAGGCGTCCTCAAACTGCAGCCCGCCTAGGACATTTATCCGGCCCCCCGGGTGTTTTTGCCACCACTGCCTGTCCTGCTTAGCAGCCGACTCGTCCCGGGGCCTTCAGTCCGGCCCTCCAATGGTCTGAGGGACAGTGAACTGGCCCCCTGTTTAAAAAGTTTGAGGACCCCTGCTCCAGACTGTCTGGACTCAAATCCCAGCCCAACCACCAGATTCTTTCCCCCTCCTTGGATGGCTCCTCAGCCTCTTCAAGCTTCCCCTTCCTTATCTATAAAGCCACAGCTTACCTGTTAATTTTTTTTTTTTGAGACAGAGTCTCACTATGTCACTATGTTGATAAAGCGCTGTAGCATCACAGCTCACAGCAACCTCAAACTCTTGGGCTTACGCAATTCTCTTGCCTCAGCTTCCCAAATAGCTGGGACAACAAGCACCTGCCACAATGCACAGCTATTTTTTTTTTTTTTTGCAGTTTTTTTGGGCGGGGCTGGGCTTGAACCCGCCACAACTGGTATATGGGGCCAGCGCCCTACTCCTTGAGGCACAGGCGCCGCCCAGCCTAGCCATTTATTTTTGTTGCAGTTGTCATTGTTGTTTATCTGGCCTGGGCCAGATTCGAACCCACTAACTTCAGTTATGTGGCTGGCACCATAACCACTGTGCTACAGACGCTGAGCCCAGCTGTTACGCTTTTTTTCAAATTGTTTAACTCTTCTCCCCACCTCAGAATGCTCAGTTTCACTGCTCGGGCCACCTGAACAGAGAGGGAAACTGCCCTTTCCTTCAAGCCTTAGAGGAATCTGATGTTAACTAAGTACATAGCACTGTGCTTTGACCAACAGGAAACTCCATCTGCCCAAAAGTAGCACCCACCAGCAGATGGGTCACTCCCACTCCCCGTCAGCAAACCGCACAATGTTAGGTTCCCAGCAGACACTGGTCAAGCATCTCCCATGTGCCGGACACCACCTGGGGCAGCAGAGGATACAGGACACAGAAGACACGGCCCTACCCTTTAGAAGGTCTCCCTTCAACAAGGTTGTGGGAGGCTCACAACTGTTAATGCAATTAGGGTGCCGAACTCTGACAGAGACAGAGGTCCAGAACTGCCTAATCCAACACCCTCAGTTTAAAAACAAGGGAAGAGAAGCCGAAGAGATTACGTGGTCACCTCCAGACCAAGTGTACTGACACAGCGGGGCTGGGTCTCAGGTCTTGGGACTGCCAGACCAGTGACTTTTCAACAAAGCAACTCTACTGGGTTTGTTCCTGCCCCTTCAATCTTACCTAACCCTGAGAAGTATCTCTGGTCCAACAGTGTATAGCACACAGGCCGGGCCTGGCCCAAGGCTTCCAAAGCTTGTCCTCGATGGAACTCATCAGACAAGATGTCACAGGTGGGTTCAACTACCGGGGAAGAGCGCCAAGCCATCTGACAGTTATAAAATGCCAGGAAGCCACCGGCACCAAAATGCAGGACCAACCTGAAAAGAAAGAACAGATCACAGGTACACACATCACCACAATATACACGTAGTCACATCAGTCATTTGGTCTGTGACTTAGGACGGGTCCACTTACTATTTTTTGACTTTATGGTGGCACAAAAGTGATATGCATTCAGTAGAAGCCATACTTAACTCGTACAACCATTCCATTTTTCATTTTTAGCACAGTATTCAATAAGTTACATGATATCCAACTTTATCATAACATAGGCTTTGTGGGGCTGGGCGTGGTGGCTCACGCCTACAATCCTAGCACTCTGGGAGGCCAAGGCAGGTGGACTGCCCTGAGCTCACAGGTTCAAAACCAGCCTGAGCAAGAGTGAGACCCGGTCTCTAAAGATAGCCGTCGTTGTGGTGGGCACCTGTAGACCCAGCTACTTGGGAGGCTGAGGAAAGAGGCCCAAGAGTTAGAGGTTGCTGTGAGCTATGACACCACAGCACTCTACCAAGGGTGACAAAGACTTTGTCTCAAAAAAAAAAAAAAAGTACATATATATGATTATAACAATACATGTTGGCTCGGCGCCTGTGGCTCAAGTGGCTAAGGCGCCAGCCACGTACACCTAGGGTGGCGGGTTCGAGTCCCCAGCCCGGGCCTGCCAAACAACAATAATGGCTGCAACCAAAAAAAAAAAATAGCCGGGCGTTGTGGCGGGCGCCTGTGGTCCCAGCTACTTGGGAGGCTGAGGCAGGAGACTCGCTTGAGCCCAGGAGTTGGAGGTTGCCGTGAGCGTGATGCCATGGCACTCTACCCAGGGGTACAGCTTGAGGCTCCGTCTCAAAAAAAAAACAAAAAACAAAAAACAATACATGTTCACAGAAGAAAATGTGAAAAAAAAAGAAAAGTGTACAGTCCAGGGGGTGTGGCAACTTGAGTAATACAGGGTTTATCAGGTAGAAAAGAGGGAAACTGAGGCTCAGCAGCCACCACATCCAGTCCTGGGCAACATTTATCAAAAAGACACCACCATACATACCCCCACGAGCTTTCTGATTGCCAAGGACAGAGCAGAAATCTCGCAAACTTTGATAAAGAAATAAAAAGCTACTTTGTACAGGAAGCTCATCAGACAGGAGCTGGACTGAGCACCTGAGAGAGAAGGAACCCTGGTCTACACAGGTGGCCTCAGCCACACTCTCATGTGGAAGGAGCAGGGCAACTGTCGCCAAGCAGGGACTCAGAAGGACATCTCTGTGTCACACCTGACATCATTACTCAAGAGAAAATACACACCCAGTGGAAATTCAATCAGCAGGGATCTCAAAACAGGAGAGTGTGAAGCTGGAAAAGCTGCCTGCAAGATGGGTCTGAGAAGCTGGGATGAAGCTGTACTGCTGATCTGCTTACCCCACAGTCCTTCCCCACATACCTCCATGTTCATCTAGTTAAGGTTTCTCCATGACTGTGAGGATGTTTATCTCAAAAGACTTTGGGAGAGACATAACACTTAGAGAATAAGTGACGTTATATTGTTAGAGTAAGGGTTACTCATATGTTATTTAAGTATTGTTACATTGTTAAAGGCTATCTTTGTGTTGTTTTCTTTAATGATTCTTTTAGATAAAGTTAAGTTTTTCTAGGTTTGAAGAAGATAAACAAATGGCTAACAAACATGAAAAAATGCTCATCATCCCTAATTATCAGAGAAATGTAAATCAAAACCACCCTGAGATATCATCTAACCCCAGCGAGAACGGCCCACATCACAAAGTCTCAAAAGCTGCAGATGTTGGTGTGGGTATGGAGAGAAGGGGACACTTTCACACTGCTCGGGGGACTGCAAATTAGTACAACCTTTTTGGAAGGAAGTATGGAGAATCCTCAAAGAACTCAAATTACACCTCCCATTTGATCCTGCAATCCCATTACTGGGCATCTACCCAAAAGGAAAAAAATCATTTTACCATAAGGACATTTGCACTAGACTGTTCATGGCAGCTCAATTTACAATCACCAAAATGTAGAAACAACCTAACTGCCCACCAACCCAGGAAGGGATTAACAAGCTGTGCTATATGTATACCATGGAATAATGTTCAGCCATAAAAAGAGATGGAGGCTTTACATCTTTTGTGAGGAGGAACACATTCTTCTTAGTAAAGCATCACAAGAATGGAGAAGCAAGAATCCAGTGTACTCAATTCTAATATGAAGGCAGCAGATGAGCTAATACAAGGTGGAGGGTAAGGGAATGAGGGAGCAGGGAGAGGGGAAGTGGGAGGGGGATGCGGGACCACAGTGTATGGCGCACCTCTTAGGGGTGGGGCACAATTATAAGAGGGACTTTGTCTAACAAATGCAATTGGTGTAACCTCATTCTTCGTACCCTCAATGAATCCCAAACAATAAAAAAAAAATTCATAGGTTTGTTTCCTTACATCCCATTATGAAAACTACTAAAATTGTAAGTGAGGCAGAACAGATTTGAGATTCTCACTGTTCCCTGGAATGCTGGCCTTCTGGCAATAAAGCTGGGTGGACCTAACCCCCGTCTCTACATATTGGCTGGACACCGATAGGTGGCCTGACCTTCTTCGTCCAGTAACAAGAGGAAAAGGTAGGAAAACTACCAACAGCACTAGGTTTCACGGCATGGATAACACGTATCGTGAGATCTAAATGGGCTGGGATGCGACGGGGCAACTACGAACCCTAACGCCAGCATTAGGAAAGAATTCTTTCTTTGGTTTTCTTTTCTTCTCAAGAAAATGATGTTTGTTTGGAAAAGGACACTGCAATGGGAAGATGCATGCCACAGTAAACTATGGGCGCATTCAGGGAGGCTAGGGAAGACAAAAGTTTTTATTTATTGGTTTGTTTTTGTTTTTTTAGACAGACTCTTACTCATTCCGTTGACCGGGCTAGAGGCCCATGGCATAAGCCTATCTCACAGTAACCTCAAACTCCTGGGCTCAAGTGATCCTCTTGCCTCAGCCTCCCAAGTACCTGGGACTATATTCGCCCACCACCAACCACATCTGGCCAATTTTTTCTATTTAGTAGGAAAGGGGTATCCCTCTCGTTCAGGTTAGTCTCCAACTCCTGAGCTCAAGCCTCATTCTGCCTTAGATCATAGGCCTAAGCCACCAGGCCCAGCCAACTGGAGTTTTTTTCTTAATCCTGAAGAATCCACTTCCCCCTTTCAATAAAAATCTTTCTCTGAAAGCATCACTGATCAATCTTCTTGCTGTTAGGTGTTTTTCTCTTTCTTTTTTGGTACATAATAATTGCATATATTTACAGGGTCAAAGTAATTTTTGATACATATACACAGTATGTAATGATCAAAACAGGGCAATTAGGATCATCAACTCAAACATTTATCATTTCTTTCATTTCTTTGTATAAGAATATATATATATATATATATATTTTTTTTTTTTTTTTGAGACAGAGCCTCAAGCTATCCTCTTGGGTAGAGTGCCCGTGACATCACAGCTCACAGCAACTTCCAACTCCTAGGCTCAAGCAAGTCTCCTGCCTCAGCCTCCCAAGTAGCTGGGACCACAGGCGCCCACCACAATGCCTGGCTATTTTTTGGTTGCAGCCATCATTGTTCTTTTGGCGGCCCAGGCTGGATTTGAACCTGCCACCTGAAGTGTATGTAACTGGCGCCTTAGCCACTTGAGCCACAGGCACTGAGCCTAGAAAGAATTTTTTTGAGACAGTGTCTCACTTTGTCCCCCTTAGTAGAGTGCTGTGACGTCACAGCTCACAGCAACCTCAAACTCTTGGGCTTGAAGCCATCCTCTTGCCTCAGCCTCCTGAGTAGCTGGGAGTACAGGTGCTGCCACAACACAGGACTAGAAAAGAATTCTTGAAACAAAAGTTACCTGTTTAATATGCATTTAATATTAATTTAATCATACTATGTGTACTTATAGGACTGATATTCTAAGCTAGCTCAGCAAACTCAGGAGTTGGGTGGATTTGGCAGAGAAAAGCAGCCGCAAGCATAAATATCTTTTTTTTTTTTTTGCAGTTTTTGACCTAGGCTGGGTTTAAACCCTCCACCTCTGGTATGTGGGGCCAGCGCCCTACTCCTTTGAGCCACAGGCCCCGCCCCATGCATAAATATCTTGAAAGACTCATCCCAGAGGTGGGGATGAGTTTTAATGATATAGAAGTTATTAATTTTGATGTTATTAAAAATTAGACAGTTATTAAAAGAAAAAATCCAGTTTTTATTTAAGGTAATTACCAAGAGAACTAGGATGATTACCAACAGGTCCAAATCCACAAGGATGAGGCTTGGCATCTGTAGCTCAGTGGCTAGGGCACCAGCCACACACACGGGAGGTGGTGGGTTCAAACCCAGCCCAGGCCTGCCAAACTATGACAACTACAACAAAAAAATAGCCAAGTATTGTGGCAAGCGCCTGTAGTCCCAGCTACCAGGAGGATGAGGCAAAAGAATCAGATAAACCCAAGAGTCTGAGGTTGCTGTGAGCTGTGATGCCACAGCACTCTACCAAGGGTGACACAGTGAGACTCAGTCTCCAGAAAAAATAAAAAATAAATAAAAACAAATCAACGAGGATGAAAAAAGAAAAGAAACTTAATAAACCTAACAGAAAGTACAATGACTGCAAAAATCCAAGTGTCATAATTGTTACATTTCAAAACAAAGAGTTTAAAAAGACACAGAGTCAATGAAGCTGCTTATAAGAAACAGACCTAAAATAAGTGAAAACTAAATGTAAAAACACCTAAGACTAACTGCAAAAAAAAACTAAGGGGTTGGCAAACTGAACAGTGTCAACATTGAAAACCATCATAGACATTGTCAAAGGACACATGATAGACTTGAAGCTATGCGGGCAGCACGTACCAGGAAGACTCACAGACTGACAACCCAAAAGCTTCAACAGATTGGTAAAGCATACCAACACCCAAAGTTAGAAAGAATTCAGCTAAGCTAGCACTTTTGAAAGGCCTTAAAAAGGTGCAGGGTAACAATATTCAATCTCTTCAACCATTAATTACTCCTCTGGGAACCGACACTAAGGAAATGATCCTAAACAGAGTTGATACATAAAATATTGTTAAAACTATTTATAGATTAACAACTGGCAAAATCTTGTCCCTAAACTGAGGACATACTACTCAAGCCATAAAATGGTCTTCAGACACCTTCCATACTGAAGCACGACATCTGTGCAGAAAATTCTCCCCTTCTCCAAGCTACCCCTGGGTGCCCGATCCTGTCCTGTGTGCAGACTATTCAGGCCACATTCTATCATGGGTAGGTATAGATGAAGCTTCTCCTCCTACACAGTAGGGTCCTGAGGACAGGCTGAGTATCTTCCTGAGTGGGACCCCACAGCCTAGGGCAATGATTTTCAACTGGTGTGCCACACTAGTGCGCTGTGAGAGGACCTTAGCTGTGCTGCAAAATTTTTTAAAGACCATTAATTATTTTTGAAAGTAGTTCAAAGCACGGTAAGTATAGTCTTTTCACTCTGTTTTTTTGATCAACATAATTTAAGTGTGCCATGAAAGTTTAACTACAGGTTCAAGTGTGCTATGACATAAAAAGGTTGAATAATGCTAGCCTAGGGCCAATATGAACGCAGTGGATCCTACAAAGACCCAGATGGCCACACCGTTACCTTGGACTGGGATCCTGCCAGTCACCTTTCTTGTTGGCTTTCTTTGCTCTAGAGAACTCGTTGGCCCAAACACTGCCAAATAAACCAAAGCGGATCTGCAGCCACCTCTCAGGTCCTTCTGCAGGGGGGTCTCTTCTCAGACAGTCGGAGCCATCAGCTCCCTGGGGAGCAACAAGTTCTGAAGAATGTAAGGCCTCATCACAGGTCCCCTGTCTGCTGGACCCCAAGGCCTCTTCCCTCTGTGCTCCTTTTTGTGGATGCTCTGGCAGTGGGTTGTTGTTACCAGGGGGCCCCACTTCATCTGGATCAAATCTAAGGTATAACTTCTTCCCATGGACCTAGGGAAAAAAATGAACATATATCTAAGCCTTGCAGACCCAGAAAGGGGAGGAGTGGTATGCAGACACTTCTCCTACTACAAATTTCATCCTTCTCACCTCTCCCATGAAGTTTTCCCAAGTGGGAAACTGGGAAAATGTGGGGCCTGCCAAAATTTTACTCTTTTACTCCAGTGGTGTGAGAAGTCAGTGCATGGTTTTCTAAGCCATTGAAAGGAAATGGAACAATTAGTTAACAATGAAACAGACTTGTTCTAGATAGCACAGCCACCTTCCAATACCTGAGTGGAACTGGCTCCAACTTTTCACAGATTAGCTAAGAAATAAATACAAGTTGTCACTCTTTCATTTAATTCCTAATACATGTTTCTATGCTAGAAATAATAAGCATGTGGGCACACGCACAAAGTGACAGCAGCTAAAGACAATATATTGTAAAATCAGTACCCCTTGCTACCCTCTCAGCCAGCCAAATGGGACTTTATAAAAATAACAGCAATAAGAGAAGTGGGAATCTAAACTAGAGCTAAGAGATCAAGTAACTTGCTCAATCTCCCAGAGCTAAACTCACTGAGTTAGTCTGCAAATATTTCTTTGGGCCTCCTTTGTGCCTCCTGTGTGCCAGGAATTCAGCTAAGTGTTGAGGATACTGTTCTTCTGTCCTATGCTCAGGGGCCAGATAGGTCAGCAACAAGGCTCTGATGGCAGGAAGCACAGAATGCTCTGGAAGCACAGAAGTGGAGGCTCTACCCCGATATGAAGCAGGCACGGCAGGCTTCTAAAGACACGATGGCCAAACGGAAGCCAGAATACTGACTAGGAATGACCGTGGTAAACTGGGAGGACAGTCATGGGGGCAGAGTTGGGAGAAAAGGGGAGATCTGCCCAAGCAGGAGAGCAGCAGGTCCAAACCATCAGCTGAAAGACTGTTAGAGATCGATTTGGGGCAGGAAAAGAAGGCTGGAGATGGAGGCATGGGGTCAGACTACAAAGAGCCCCTTGAAGGGATTCTGTTGCCTGCTCAGGGGCAAATGTAAGTGGGTCTGAACCTACATCAGAGCCTCTCTTTCCTTCTCTCCCCAAGGCTGGCCATACAGGCTTAAACGTGGTTCCCTGTCCAAGGTGCACATCAGACAATCTGGAGTGAACAGAATCCCTGCTGACCCTGTCATTCAGGGTGTCCAGCTTGCACATGTCTCTTTACAGTTTCACAGCTGACTGCGATGCCCACTTCTGGCTGAGAAACAGCAGATGAGAAGGCAGAGCTTCATTGGCGCCTCAGCTTGGGCAGCTTGGGCTGGAGGAAGTGACAGCCTGACACATCTGGGGCAGATTCCAGGGGAGCTGCCAGCCCACCACCCGCAGGAGATGAATGCTCACCTGGGTGTCCTGGAGCCACAGTGCCTGGAGGCCAGTAGGGCAGAACTTCTTACTGCTGCCCCCTGTCTTGACTACCTGCTGGCCCACAAAGGGGGATACCAAATGGTGAAACTTCCTCACAGACGGCCCTTCTGGCATCTCTGCAGGCAGAAAGGGACAAAAGAGGCCACAGTCTTAGTTCCTTCCTCGCTCGCATTTCTGACAGGTGCCAAGCTCCAAGCAGCCACTCTTTATAGCCACTCCAAAGCCACCAACTTTGGGAGCAAATATGGCCCAAAAGGGAGCTTGGACGGGACTAGGACAGGGTGTGGGGAGACAGATCACAGAGAAGTACAAGCTGCAGTAGGGTGTGGCCAGCTTTGCAGAAGTTTCCCTTTCCAAATCCCTCTGCCCTTTCTTCACACAGCAAATACTAAGCACCAACATTGTGCTCACTATCCTACAGGGGATACCATCCACTTTGATGTGGTGAAGACTGTAAGGGGCCCAAAGACCCCCAAGTGGACTGGGACTGCCCCACGTCCAGGAGAGATGTGCATGAGATGCCCACGGACAGACCTCAGACTCACAAGGGCAGACCTTCCAACCATGCTGATGCAGCTTACCTGCCAATAATTATCCCTGATAACTGAGACACAACTATGCTTTCCCATGGGGGCCTACCTGTGACCCCTTCCTTCCCTGCCCCACATCATCCCAGACCACTGAGACACCAGTATAAGGTAGTCTGAGTGGTCTGCAACCTGGGTGACTGGGCACACTGCTAACCACCTGTTCTCATATCAGCATGAGATTCTGTAAGTTATGGTGAAAATAATATTAAAAAAAAAAAAGTAGGTACCCGGCATGGTGATATTTCAGTGATTCTAAAAAACCCATTTAGGCTCAGTGCCTGTAGTTCAGCAGCTAGGGTGCCGAGCATATATACAGAGGCTGGCAGGTTCTAGACCCTGCCCAGGCACGCCAAACAACTATGACAACTGCAACCAAAATATACGGGGATGTTGTGGCAAGTGCCTATAGTCCTAGCTACTTGGGAGGCTGAGGGAGAATTGCTTAAGCCCAAGAGTTGGAGGCTGCTGTGAGCTGTGATTTCACAGCACTCTACTGAGGGTGACATAGTGAAACTGTCTCCAATAAACAAATACATAAATAAAATATAAAACACATTTAAAAGTATTTTTTAAATCTCGGAAATGAGGATGCTTATTGCAATGTGTACATTCTCACAGTTTCATTAATAGCACATTAAGAAATGTGCGCCTTGGCTCCGCGCCTGTGGCTCAAGCGGCTAAGGTGCCAGCCACATACACCTAAGGTGGCAGGTTCGAATCCCCAGCCCGGGCCCGCCAAACAACAATGATGGCTGCAACCAAAAAATGGCCGGGCGTTGTGGCGGGCGCCTGTGGTCCCAGCTACTTGGGAGGCTGAGGCAGGAGATTCGCTCGAGTCCAGGAGTTGGAGGTTGCTGTGAGCTGTGATGCCATGGCACTCTACCCAGGGAAATAGCTTGAGGCTCCGTCTCAAAAACAAAAAAAAAAGAAAGAAAGAAAGAAAGAAATGTGCGCCTTACTTGATGGTGCCTCAGACTGGCTGAACTGTGGCGACACTTCCCCTAATCAGCCTCTAAGGACACTTTAGAAGAAATCCCCACAAAGCAGCAGGTGTGGAAGGGGACGTGCCAGACACAGCAGACAGGAACCAGTTCTCTGGGAATTTCTACTACTCTCCTAGGGAGGAAGCTTCTGGAAATGCCCCCTTCGAAATGCACCAAGTCGACACATGCACATATGTCTTTTGGGGATTTTTATGGAGCTAGGCAAGCTGCTCCTACAATGGATTTAAATGGTGAGAAGCGGAAGAGGCCTGGAAGGGACGAGAACCTCCCCCATTCCCGAGCCTCCTCCCACAAGCCTCTCCCCACACGGGGGTTAAAGGCTGGAGAGTGGGCTCCCTGGTAAAGGAAAGTAGACGGTCATCACCGTGGTCCTCTTCCAAGGTACACTATTCCTCAAGAAGAGTCTAAAATGCCTGCTTTCCCCAACACTCTTTGGCGGGGGAGGAGCAGGGACCAGACTGAAGTCACCAGCGTCAAGTGGGGAGGCACCGTGGTAAACAAGCAAAAAGAAAATGTTCGGCCAGGAGTGCGGGTGGCCTTAAGAAGCTATTGTTTGTTCTTTGAGTTTTCATGCCAAAAAACTTCGCGCGGACAAAGTGCACCCGCCTGGGAGCCGCGCTGCGTGTACCCGCGAGCGTCAGCGCCCTGCTGAGCAGGAGGCAGGGCCTGGTCCCCTCCGGTCTCCTCCTCTTTCCAGTGCACCGCCCACGCGGCCGTGGGTCCACCGGAGGGGAGGGTGTGGAGGTTCGGCGGGCGGCTGGACTCACCGGCTCAGCTCAGCTGGGCGCGCGGCGCTGCGGGCACAAACGCGGGGAAGACCACCAGCTACCACCTACGCGCAGCTGCGCCCCCGCACTCGGGGCTGAAGGCGCAGCCCACCAGTAGGCAGGCAGGGTGTCAGGCTCCTCCTCCGACTTGCCCGGGAACTCGGGCTTGGGGGCGGAGCTGGGGCGCAGACACCGCCCCCGGGGGCTGAGCGCAGGAGGCGGGGCTCGTCCGCTGGGGGTGGGACTTCTGGGCTCCTCCTCCGAGTGCAGCTGTAGCCTAGGGCCGGTGCCCCTGCCGGTGCCGGGGCGCTAACTCCGCCTCAGAGGCCGTGCGCAGGGGGCGGGGCTTGTGCCCTGACAGGTCAAGGTGTCGCTCGCGTCTCCCGGAAGGAGGGCTGGGGTCTAGCTGGCGTCGGGGCGAGGGGTATGGGCTCCTCCCTTGGGGGTGGACCAGACGCTCACTCAAAGGCAGGGGTGGAGCCTCCCCCTACAGGTTACTACGACAGGCGCGACCGCGGCCGAGGGTCGGCAGAAAAAGCTGGAATGGGGGAAGGATTAGGATTGGATCCGAGGTTAAGATTAGGATTAGAGCCAAAGTAAAAGGTTCTTGGAACATTTATTGTGTCCCGAAGATAGTTTCTGAGAAAGGTCCTGAGTGGTTGAATGGAAGAGCAGGTGGTTCAGTGGAAGGGCCTTTCAATTTTTTTTTAATGGTGGGTTTGTTTTACTTTTGAATATTATTTGAATTTTTACTATAAGCAAATGTTGCTTAAAATGTTTGTGTATTAAATTTTTATTCCTAAGAATAAGAGATAAAATAATAGGCTACTTAAAGACAATATGTTCTATTGATGTTGGTTCTCCAAGGAGGATGAGGAGCCAACTCTTTCTAGGAAGTCATGGGGGGAGTTTGGGAAACTGTCCAAGCAGATGTTCAGGAAATCTCCGTAATGGCAGTCCCCATGGACCCTAATTGAGGGGCCCTGGGCAGGGATTGACCAGCATAGGGAGACAAGCCCAACCAGTCCTTAGAGGCATGCTCTGTCCTGCTGATTGAGAAGAAAGGGTGCATGTGGTCTTCCCTGGCACCCGCCCACTGAAGGAGCTGGGGCAGAGGGTGAGAGGGAGGCTGGGAAGGACCAGGGTATCCAGGATCCTGCATGTTGAGGGTTCCTAGAGGCAGAGGGGGAGAGGTCTGGGGGCATGGAGTCTGGCCTTAGGGATAGCATCCCCACCCCGGGATGTCTCTTGCTCTGGGATAAGGGGCACCCCTATGGTAGTTCTGGAGCCCCAGCTCCTCTTCCTGCAGGCTGGGATGGAAGCAACAGCCACAGTCCTTGCCTCATCTGGTAGAACAAATGCCTGGTACCTAAAAGGGCTCTTCTGAGGCCAAAGGGTTATGTCATTGATAGGGCGACCAGATTTTAACATTCGTAAAGCGGGACAACACGGCAGGGGTGGGGGGGTGGGGCAGGGGACAGGACAGGGCAGGGCCTGACAACAATGCAAACTTTGATAAGCAGTTCTCCATAATCACTTCTCAACAATTATTTGTTATTATTACAGTTTAACATTATAAAATTAACAAAAATAATATAAAACTCATATTCTGGAGAAATAGCCACATGGCAGCCAAAAACCGTATATTCCCTTCCTGTTCTCCCACCCGTTTGTGCATTCTTTCCAAAAATTGGGACTTTTTTAAAATGCCACAGGACATGGGACAAATTGTTCAAAAGCGGGATGTCTGGTCACCCTAGTCATTGAGAAACCAAATGGTTCCCAGCTTGGCCCTGTCATTTATAATTATAGCTATTGTTTATTGAGTGAACACTATTTGCAAGATACTGCTGTGAGCTCCTTACACATTAGGTTATTATGTATGAAATGTCCCATTTCCTTAAGTACTAAGTCTGACAGGTGATATCTCTGACATTTCACTTTAACACTTTTTTTTTTCTGTTTTTTCTTTTTTATTGTGAAGGTGCATCCACATTCTTTTAAACTCATGTTTTGGTCCTTCTTTCTTTATGTTTAAGTTGGGAGAATTTGGAACCAAGGATTTTCTTCAGTTTCTAGAAAGACTTGGAGACACTCTAGACTCAGGCTGTAGGGGGGTCCCTCTTGCAGAGAGGCAGGGGTGAGGTGGGAAAGCCAAGACTCTGGAGTCAGGTAGATGTGGTTTGAATTCCAATTTGCACTTAGCTCTGTGACCTTCAACAAGTGACTTAAAATCTTTGTGTGCAAAACATGATTGCGAGCACATGTAAATATTTTCTGTGGCTACGTGAAGCTCTTAGCAGTGTCTGATGCAATAGTGCTCAATGTAGGTGCTTTTTGTTAGCAGTATTTGGGCCCAATCTGATCCCAGATTGATAGTTTGAAAACTCAGGCTGTACTGGGGGCTGAAAGGGAGCCCGGAAGATGTGGGTACCACCCGTTCAGTGCGTTAACTGCCAGGACAGTGCCTCCCGCCAGGCTCAGGGCCTTCCTAGTGACAGTGGGTAGTGCCAGCTTCCTCGTGCTAGCTCCATGGCTTTGAGCAACTTTCCTCAACAGCAGGACAAGACAGTTTGCACCAGATGATCTCTGAAACCCCTCTTGGTCTGCAAATGAGTAAGGAATGGTATTCCAACCCAAGCTTCCTTTTTCTTAGGAGGGTTCTGTTTTCTTTCTGATCTACTCAATCTCCCAGCCCAGCTATTCGAAACCTCAGTGATACCAACTTTCCGAATCCTTAGCGACAGATCTCCTGTCACCCCCCCCATGGGGTCTAGACATGGACTTTCCTAGTAAGAGGTGGTTGGCAGATTACCAGCCCTGTCTTTGGATGATTGTGCAAACAGCTAGTCTTAGGCTACAGGCCTCCCTGGAGCCAAGAGCAGCTGCAGGGGCCTTAACACCAGCCCAGGGATTGTGCAGTTGCTTCATTTCCTAGCTAAACAGGAAGGTTTACTCTGGTCCCAACTTGTCACACCAAGGGCCAGGACACCCTGGGAGGAGCTGATCTGGTGGCAGACACAGCCTCACAGCTCTGGACTAAACCAGAGCCTCAAGCTGAGTGTTCTTAACATGGGGTATATGGAGAAGTTTCTGGAGTTCATAAAGCCCCTAAAATGGTGAGTAGAGTGCAAATCTCAAGTTATGTGTAGCTTTCTGGGGAAAGTGGGCACAATTTTTGTGTATTCTCAGCTAGGTCTGTGACTCCCACCCCCAAGTTAAAAAAATTAAACACTGGGGGTGGCGCCTGTGGTTCAAAGGAGTAGGGCGCTGGCCCCATATGCCAGAGGTGGAGGGTTCAAACCCAGCTCTGGCCAAAAAAATAAAAAATAAAATAAATAATTAAACATTGCCCCAAATTGCTTTATATTACAGAAATGACTTACTCTAAATGCTCTGTGGGGGGGGGGGGCTGTGAGAAGCCCTAGAGACATCCCAGTTCATAGCCTGCAGCTCCACTCGGACCTCATCCAAGCAGTTGGGTAGGAAGCAGAGGCCAAGGTCATTTGATAGATTTAGGAAAACACACTGAACTAAAGTACAGCAAGCCCTGTTCTTCAGTGTAGCAACATGGAAGACCCAGAAATGTTCCCCATGTGGCAACCTTGGCTGGAATTCATTTTCTGAACCTACAAACTATTCTTCCACAGCCCTTTTTTTTTTTTTTTTTTGAGACAGAGTCTTACTTTGTCACCCTTGGTAGAGTGCCATGGGGATCATAGCTCACAGCAGCCTCAAACCCTTGGGCTCAAGTGATTCTCTTGCCTCAGCCTCTTGAGTAGCTGAGACTATAGGCACCCACCACAACACGGAGCTATTTTTAGAGACAGGGTCTCACTCTGGCTCAGGCGACTCTCGAATCCTGAGTTCCTCCTTGAGTGCTAGGATCGTAGGTATAAGCAACCTCACCAGGCCCCAGCCCTTCATTTTTATTTTTATTTAAGTCACTCTATTGTTCAGGCTAGAGTGCCATGGCATCAGCCTAGCTCACAGCAACCTCAAACTCCTGGGCTCAAGTAAGTGACCCTCTTGCCTCAGCCTCCCGAATACCTAGGACTACAGGCACCCGACCACCATGCCCAGCTAATTTTTCTATTTTTAGTAGAGACAGGGTCTTGCTGTTGGTCTTTTTTTTTTTTTTTTTTGAGGCAGACTTTCACTCAGTCAACCTGGGTAGAGTGCCATGGCATCATAGCTCATAGCAATGTCAAACTCTTGTTCTCAAGTGATTCTCTTGCCTCAGCCTCCCAAGTAACTGGCACTATAGGAACCTGCTACATGCCTGGCTATTTTAAGAGATGGGGGTTTTGCTCTTGCTCAGGCTGGTCTCGAACTAGTAAGCTCAGGTTACCATCTGCTTGGTGTCTATAACAAGACCATAAAGTAAATTAAATTAAATGTCTTTGCATTAGGCAGGAACTCAGACAGCTTAGTGTACTTACTCTCTGGTACTTGTTGGAAAGATTAACAGTCATGGATTTTGTTCTTTTTTAATTTGAGGTATAACTGACATGCAGTGATGGAGGGCATTGTTTGCTTGTTTATTTAGACACAAGGTCTCACTCTCTGCCCAAGCTGAGTGCAGTGGTGCATTCATAGCTCACTGCAGCCATCACCCTGCCTCAGCCTCCTAAGTAGCTGGGACTACAGGCACATACCACCACATCCAGCAAACTTTTCTTATATTTTTGTAGAAATTGTGTCTTCTTATGTTGCCTAGGCTGGTCTTGAACTGCTAGCCTCAAGTGATCCTCCTTCCTCGGCCTCCTAAAGTGCTGGGGTTACCAACATGAGCCACTGTACCCAGCCCCTTATGTTTTTGATCTATGAAAAATAAGGATAATCCAAATGATCATGTAGATAAAACTATTTCAAAACATGGGGACTGTGGGGGGGTGGCAGCAGGGTAAAGGGGACTTTGGCTGCGTTAAGGCTGGAAGTCACTTAAAGGAAATTTCCAGGGAAAGGGGACTGATTAGACCACTCTGGCGGGTGAGGAAGGGGGTTGATTCCTGGAAGGGTTTCCCACCAGTACTACTACCGTGTTTCCCTGAAAATAAGACCTACCCCCAAAATAAGCCCTAGCAGGATTTCTATGCATTTGTTAAATATAAGCCCTACCCTGATAATAAGACCTAGTGATGGGAGTGGCTATGCAGCGTATCCATGCCCTGCATTTCAGTGTGGAGTGGTAAGGAAGACTGGAATACCTCTTATCTGCCACAGCTCCTTTCTCCAAGCCGTTTGCACTTGTGCAGGTGTGCATGTGGTAACCTCGGTCTCAGGCATCCTATTGTGCACTTGTGAATGGCTAGGGGAAAGGAATTCATGCATCACTAGTGCCAGCCCCACCAACAAGGTCGGCTCCCCCTGTCAGGTTCCAGAAGAAGATGACTTAACTGTATTTGAATAAAGGTAGATTGTTGTATTATACTTAATAAAAATAAGACATCCCCTGAAAATAAGCCCTAGTGTGTCTTCTTGAGAAAAAATAAATATAAGACAGTGTCTTATTTTTGGAGAAACACGGTAGGACTGCAGTGCCTGGGGGAATCTTGGAGAATACAGATACTCCTTTACGTCGGAAAGCATGTGCCCTTACGTTGTACCCAATGCTTTGCTCAGCAGAGCCCAGGCCCTAGGCCTGCATAAGATTCTGTTATTCAGGACACACTTTAAAGACATTAAATCAGGTGGGGCTGGAGAAAGGTGCCTGGGGGGGAAGGTCTAAAATGTCACTCCTCATACACATACTGAGCAATCTCTGTTGGGGCATAAAGAACTTTCTGCTGTGGTTCATCCACCCCTGTTCTAGGAAATTAAAGCCCTAGGTCAGGGGTCCTCAAACTTTTTAAACCCGGGGCCAGTTCACTGTCCCTCAGACCATTGGAAGGCCAGACTGTGGGCCCCCAGGACGAGTGGGCTGCTAAGCAGGACAGGCAGCGGCGGCAAAAACACCCAGCGGGCCAGATAAATGTCCTAGGCAGACCGCATGTGGCCCACAGGCTGTAGTTTGAGGACGCCTGCCCTAGGTGACCTGTCTGGGGCCTCCTGGTGGTCAGTAGCAGGGCTGGGATGAGCTTCTTTTCACCACCACTGCCACCTACGGAGGATACCTTGGGCAGCAGCCAAGAATAAAGGGAATGGGGAGACTGATGTGTGAAGCAGCCTGTGCGTGGATCAGCAGAGAGGCCTCAGCAGCTCAGAGTCCCTGGAAAGGCACAGCAGTATCAACCTCCCAGTAAACCCCTCTGAGGGAGGAGAAGGGGAAGGAGGAATACAGATAAATTTATTAGTTAAATACTGATTTTACAGCCATTTCACCTTAAGACAATGTTAACAGGTTTGTGGGTTAGGGTGGGTATATGAGGTGGCTTTGGGGAAGAAAACAATGTAAATATGATTAAAACAGAATCTTGGTTTAAAGATATTCTCTGCTACAGCCAGTAGGATCTTAGAATGGGGGGACTGGTGTTTTGGGGTACGCATAGTCATGCCACAGTCAAGACGCTGCTGTGCCAATAACAAGGACACCGGATGGTCCTTGTGAGCCCCCGTGTCCAGGCGGGAACTGAGGAGAAGGTGGCGGAGCTGGAGACCTTTGCCAGGCCCACCCTCAGCATCTTCCAGTCTCTTCTCTTACTGGCAGTCTTCTTTCTTTCCATGAATTTTATTACGTTTTATTATTGCTTTGAATTTATGTTGCAAAATCTCTGGCTTTTGCCTCCTGGACAAAAGATTTCTATTGGGGAAAGGATGTAAAGTCCGAGGGCTTGGGGTCTTGGGCTGCCGACTGGCCAAGGGGCCTATCTCCACAGGGCAGCAGCCCCGGGAGGATCTGAGATCACGTCCTCGAAAAGCCCCTGAGCCCCAACAGGATGGTATCCACCAGACACTCTCTTCAGAAGGCTCTCACAGCGCAGGTGAGTTTCCTGAGCTTAGCCGAGCAGCACGGCCCCTCTGTGTGCGGCAGGCGGAGGAAGGATGTTGGGGACAGAATGGAGGGGGCACTGTCCAGCTAGACTACACAGCTCTTGTTTTACCACCGGAGAGACAAGTCCAAGCTGAAGGCAGAGTTGAATTGCTTAGAACCACAGGAGGAATTTTTATTTAAGAGGGCTTAGAAGTGAAGAGAGGAGGGAGCCAAGGATGAAGCCCGTAGTGGGGGAAAAGCTGGGGGCACAGGTGCCAAACTGCACGTGGATGAAGTTCTGCCACACGGCGGGTGAAGCCGCTGCCCATCTCCCCAGGAGGTGTTCAGTGACATCTGAGTTACACCCAGTGTTGTGGAGTCGGATTTGGCCAGGGGGACACGGGGATGTGCCATGCCTGAAGGGGGAGTGTTGGGCAAGGGCACAGGTGCCCGCAGGACCCATCACATCCACACACAGGTACCCTCCCAGGGCCCTGCCCTTTCTTCACCCTTAGATCCTGGGCACTGGGAACCCGATGGAGAAACCACTGTTTCCGGCCACGGTGGTGGAAGAACAAGGGAGGAGGACGTGCTGTCTCTCGTCAGGGACAGGGTGGGGCAGAGAATGGAACGAAGTCTCCCACTCACAGAGATAGATACTCTGTGTGCTTGTCACGGTGGGTGGGCTCTTCCCAGTCCCCTACCTTGAAAAGGCATCTGCGGAAATCCAGTACCCACTGCCCCTAACCAGATAGGCGACTTCAAGTTTCTTCCCAGTTGTTCCTCTGGAGTCATCCCAGACTGAGGAGGCCAGCCCCCGGGAGCGCAGGGCCTGGCTATCTGCTGTCCCCCAGCTCCCAGGTCCGTGCAGGAATTTGGGAGGGAAGAAGGGAAGATTACGCCGTGATTATGTCCCCGTGACCATCAGCCAAGACTAGGCTGTTCCAAGAGTCCTGCTTGGAGCTGCCCTGTGGGGACTGGCTGACGGGGGCCGCATAGCCTTGTGGGGAGAGCTTCAGGGCTGAGAGCACCGGGTGAATGGAGGGCCCGTGGCCGGACATCGTGCTGACTGAGAACGTCTGGAAAGCAGAGAGCACATCATGAGGCCGAAAAAATCACTCTCGAGGGCCAAGGAGGTCTGTGCTGGGGAGGGAACCCCTACTGTGCCTGTGTCCCAGGGTGGCTCTCAGGGACTGAGAAGTCTTTCTGTGTTTTTCCTAATCCCGTGATCTGGAGGGTCTGGGTGACTCCCCGGCTGCCTCTGAGCACAGCATGCAGTGGGGGACTGCGACCCAGTGTTTGTGGATACTGTGGTTTCTCAGGAGGCTCTGACAGCTGCATGGACATTGTCCACACTCCTGTCGCCCTCACATCTACACGTTCGAACAGAGAAGCCACCCTCCCTGCCCAGAACCAGGTTCTCCCAGGCAATGAAAAGCTGGTTAGGACATATCCTCTCTTGAGTGCAGAGGACAGATCAGAGTAGATCTCCAAAAGAGGAGAATGGGGCTGCTGCTGGGCCATCCCCTGACACATGCACAGAGCTGGACCTCATGAAATGATGTCCTGCCCGTGTCCTCTCCATCAGCACCCACCCATACACCTGCCTCTGCCATTGCCAGGGGGCTCTTCCCACACCACCTCCTCCTGATAAATTCCTTCCAGGCCAAAGTCTAACCTCCTCTCTCTAGCTTAGGAGACAGGCTTGCCTAGGGACACCTGCCCCACCTGTCTGGTTTTAGTTGCTGTGGTGTGTTCCTTTCTTTCCCACCCCCTTCACTATATGTCGGCCCCTGGACTTCATTCTCCTTGTCTCCAAAGGTTGCAACACAGAGGAGCGCTAAATATTTGTGCGTCATTCTGTGTCCAAATCACCATAGCTTGATGAGATGTTCTGAACCCCCCTGCATTCCCCAGCCTTGTGCAGATGCTCCTGGACTAGAGGATGTGGGTGGCCTGAGGGTGGGAGGCTGGGGCAGTGTAGGGCAAGCTCCTGCCCAGTGCTAGCCTGGTCTCCCAGGCCTCTGCACCCCACCTCCCCACCACCCATCTGAGGCGTGCACCTGGGCCATGGAGCTGCCGTGGGCGTAGTGAGACTGTAGGCCGGGCTCTGTCTTGATGGGGCGCATCTCTTCACTGCTGCTGCTACTTGGGGCATTGCTGGAGTTGCTGGAGGCACCACTGGTGGGAGGGAGGCTCTCACTGCCGGAAGGACCTGGAATGAGGCAGAGTCAGGATACCAGACCAGGGGCAGGGACAGGTGGATGGTGGCCCTTTGAGACAGCCAGGGTAGGTCTGTAATGAGAGCTTTATTTACATTTGCTGGGGAGAGAAGCAGGGGTCCTTATCAGTGAGGGGACAATAGTTCTCAAAATGGGGTAGAAGTATCAGAATTCCAAGGGGACTTTCTCAAATGACGGGTTTACCTGGCCCCCACCCCAGATCTCAAACTCTTGACACCACACGTTTTCAGGATTCAAAACTCCTTGAAATTAAAAAAAGACAAATTGCAAATACCATATATGACAGGGTACCTGCAGTGGAGTCAGGGCAATGCCCTGTAGTTAAATACATCAGTATTCCCACAGCAAAACACACGAATATTCACACCAAGTGGTACAAGATTTGGTTTCGCTGCCAAATTTAGCTTTTGGGCTGACAGATCAATCTATTAGGAACATGATTAAGGGAACCCTGTCCTTCTGGATCCTACCCCACAGAGGACTGAAAGAAATTGAGTTTGGGGGTGGCTGCCAAGAATGTCCCTCTCTCTTTCAGGCCCAATGCAGCCTTGGCAAATGGTAGTGATCAGGCTGGAGGTGAGCCTGCTTCAAAAGCCCCCTGTACATTTCTATTTCTTGCTGATGTTATCTTTTTTTTTTTTTTTTTTTTGAGAAAGGGTCTCACTCTGTCACTCTGGGTAGAGGGCTATGGCCTCATTGTAGTTCATGGCAAGCTCAAACTCCTGGGCTCAAGTGATCCTTTTGCCTCAGCCTCCTGAGTAACTAGGACTACAGGAATCCACTACAATGCCTGACTTAGGTTTTCTACTTTTATTAGAGATGGGGTCTCACTCTTGCTCAGGCTGATCTTGAACTCCTGAGCTCAAGCCATATACCCGCCTTGGCCTCCCAGAGTGCTGGGATTACAGGCACGAGCCACCGGGCCCCACCCATGTTATCTTTTAAGTGAGTTACTTGTTCTGTCCTGAAAAGCCAGGAATGACCGATGTTGCCATTATACCTTGGCAGCCTGAGCTGGCCTGGCAAAGCAAGGGTGTTATTCTCACACTCCGAGGGCTACTGATTTATTAATACAGTTACGCACAGATCCCTTCCTCACCTGCTGGTGTCTTAGATTTGTTAAGGTTCTTGGGCTTCCGTTTTCTGGTCTGAATCCCCTCTTTCCGCATCGCAAGAGGCCTGGGGACCTAGAGGGTCACAGGTCAAAATAAACAGCTTTGTATCTGTGTGCTCCAATATTGAAATTTGCACAGGCAACATCTAAGCGATCTCTCTGCAACCTCCGGGCTGAGACTAGGTACACAGGCCCCCGGAACCCCTGCTATATTCTTCCATTGTTAAAAACTCTTTCACACATGGGTGTACACATGTATCTATATATGCACGCATGGGGATGTGTACTCACTCATCCACTTGTCTGTCCATCCATCTGTTTGTGCATGTGTTGAATGTACCTCAACACCCACAGTATAGTGTCCTGATAGACATATCACTTAGCAGTGTGCCCTTTCATTTTCTGGGTCCAGATGTTTGGCTCTAAATTATTAATTGTAAAGTTCTGTCCAATAGTCCTCATCCTAGGATGCCCGTAGTTATTCAGCCACTCTTTTATGGGGCTTTAATGATTGTTTTTAGTTTTTGCCACTAGACATACTGCAGCAATAAATAGTTCAAATATCATTGTATGTGTGTGTGTGTGTGTGTGTGTTTTAATTGGCTAGTTTCCCAACAGAAGAGCTGGTAGAATCAACCAAAAGGTATGTGTGTTTTTGGCTGCTAGGTGAGTATATGCAGCCATTCACATACAAATCAGTAATACAGGAGAGCACCTATTTCCCCAAAGCAACAGCAGCACTGGTTGGGCTTTACCACATATTTTAATGTTTGCCAAACAGATAGGCAAAATAAAGAATTTCATTCACAACAGGTTGTTTTTTTTTTTTTTTTTTTTTTTTTTTGAGACAGAGCCTCAAGCTGTCCCCCTGGGTAGAGTGCCGTGGCATTACAGCTCACAGCAACCTCCAACTCCTGGGCTCAAGCGAGTCTCTTGCCTCCGCCTCCCAAGTAGCTGGGACCACAGGCGCCCGCCACAACGCCCGGCTATTTTTTGGTTGCAGCCGTCATTGTTGTTTGGCGGGTCCGGGCTGGGGATTCGAACCCACCACCTTAGGTGTACGTGGCTGGCGCCTTAGCCCGGTGAGCTATAGGCGCCGAGCCAACAGGTTGTTTTCATTTATGTTTTCTGGGTTTTCAGTATGGCTTAGCATACCGCACGTGTTTCATGGCTACCTGGGTGCTTCCGTGGATTCTCTGTTCATGTCTTTTGCCCATTTGGGGAGCTATGAGGGGGAAATCGATTGTCTTTTTTTTTTTTTTTTTTTTGAGACAGAGTCTCACTCTGTTGCCCAGGCTAAAGTGCAGTGGCCTCTGCCTAGCTCACAACAACCTCAAACTCCTGGGCTCAAGTGATCCTCCTGCCTCAGCCTCCCATATAGCTGGAACTACAGGTGCCCACTACCATGCCCGGCTAATTGTTTTCTGTTTTCAGTAGAGACAGGGTCTTGCTCTTACCCAGACTGGTCTTGAACTCCTGAGCTCAAGGGATCCTCCCCACTCAGCCTCCCAGAGTGCTAGGATTACAGGCACGAACCATTTTCTTATTACGTGGTCAGATCTGTTTCTGTTCGGGGTTTCGTTTTGTTTAAAACTTACATCTGCACAAGGCTCGCATATGGATCAGTTTAAAGCTACGAAGGGCATATATAGTGTAAAGAGTGTCCTCCAGTCTCTGCTCCTTGGCATGGCCCTCCATTCCTTTCCTGAGAGGTGCCCACCCTGTGCTACCAACCTCCTCTGTGCCCTGCCAGAGGTGCTCCACGCACTCACAAGTAACCACATATAAATGCTGTTCTTTATCTATTAAAGTGGTGCCATATTATACAGCGTCTGCACCCTGCCTTTTGAAAATAGAAAACGCTATGTTAATGAGATTATTCCATATCTGAATGCCAAGAGCTTTGCAGAAGCTTTTTGTATTCTGAACATCTTAACCTTTTCTCATACCGTGTTTATTAGCTTTTACTTTCTTTGGGGGTCATTTCTAGACACTGATGTTCCATGTTTATATATCAAGTGTATCTGACTTTTCTCTTGTGGCTTTAGCGCTAGAAGGTTATGTAAATACTCCCCCTTACATATTCTTCTAGTATTAAAATCGCTTGGTATTTTTAGTGTGTTTAATTAATTGCCTACTTAATATTTCATTATCTATTACTTTTGTTTCATTTTATTTCAGAGATGTTTTATTTACATATAATAGCTTGAATTCACCTAAGTTTATTTTTGTTTAAGGTAGGAGTCATGCTTTGCTGTTTTCCAGATAAATACCAGTTACGTCAATACAATTATTTTTTTATTAGGTTTTTTCTTTTTTTAATTCCTCTCCCTTTATTTCCTTTTTATTGCAGTTTTTTTGGCCGGGGCTGGGTATTGAACCCTCCACCTCTGGCATGTGGGGCCGGCGCCCTACTCCTTTGAGCCACAGGCTCCGCCAGTCAACACAACTATTCTTAAATAAACTATCCTTTTACGCCCCTGATTGAAACATGACCTTCATTATCACATAGCGAATACACATCATACTACGTATACCATACACAGTCTCCTGTGCAAAACCAGAATTAAAATTATACAACGTTAAAGATGAAAAAAGATCAGAAAAGTTGTGAAGATTCCCTTCCCAATGTAAATATCATCGTTGAGAAGGAAAAATGGGTTCTAATTTGAAAAGAACGAGAACAGACGGATGGGAATGAAAGCGCACGGCCGCCCCACTGGGCAGGGCGCGGGGTCCAGGTCCACTTACGCCGTGGAGCTTCATGTAGAGACCGCAGGCGTTGCACACCGGCTCCCCCTCGGCGTTGCGGCGCCACAGCGTGGTGGTGGTGGTCTGGCAGTTGGCACAGGAGAGGCCCACTCGGCGGGAGGCGGACTGCAACACGGGGACAGACCCTTCAAGTCCGAGGGGGAAAGGTGGGCGTGGCCCTTCCGGGTCAGGTGCAGCTGCGGGGCTGGGCCGCCCTCGTGGGTGCGGTGAGGCCATGATGGCCCCACGTGAAATCTCGGACCAGTGACAGCCCCTGCCTCTCCCACTACCTAAGCGGCTCCTAGGAGTGCCTGAGAACAAGGCTTCTGCTGTCAGGGAAGGACAGTGAGTTCAGGCACCAAAAAGACCTGGTTTTCATCCTGTCATTCACCATCACACAAATAACCCAGCTAACACTGGGCACTGTAGGCAGAAAAGCTTCTTCCTGGCTTCAAGTCCTGGGCGCAGGTGGCGGGGAAGGAGCTTTGAGACCTCAAGACCTCAAGAGAGGGAAGCACGGGGTTTGTTCCCTTGTTCCTCCCTCCCAATATTCACAAAAACCAGCTGGTGTTGTGCAAAATGAAATTATATTCATAAAGAGTACGAAGCCGAAGTCCCAGAATCTGGCTCCCGCTCCCAAATCCTTCCCCGCCACGGGGCCAAAACAAGCTGCCTGGACTTTGGAGGGTTGGTCAACTGAAAACAGGACAAATACAGAACAGCCTCTGCTAAAGGGGCTCATAGGGTCGGTGTCAATGAAGGAGTCGTTCAAGACGACACCGGATCAGGAACCAGGGAGCTGGATTCTGGTTGGAAGCTCGGGAATGGGGCCTCTCTTTCCACATGTGTACATCCAAGGGGTTGAGCTAGCTGGTCTGGACCCTCCTTGTGGCTGACCCTCTAACAGTGTGAGAAGGTATATGTCATTCCCACCCACCTAACCCCTCGGGCCACACCATTGAATTCCCAAAGTTAAAACCAGAGGATTTGACACCTAGGACAGAGGGTTGGGGGTGGGGTTGGGGGGCAGGGGCGGTGCGGGCCCTGCTCACCAGGCGGCGTTGCGGCTTGATGAGCGGCCGGTTGATGCCGTTCATCTTGTGGTAGAGGCCGCAGGCATTGCACAGGTAGTGTCCAGTCCCGTCCCGCCGCCACAACGGAGTGGACATGGCTCCACAGTTGACGCACTCTCTGCCTTCTGAGAAGTCGTCAAACATATCTACTGGGTAGGCGGGAAACAGGCAGGAAAAGGCAGTGTTAATTCTTTGTTTATGCCCAGCGCCTCACACATTTAGGTGCATCTGAGAATCTGGAGATGGCAGAGACAACGGGCTTAGGAGGAGGGAAAGGCCGGCCTCCGGCTTTTCCCACCCATTCTCTCTCTGTCCCCAAACCCTGGGGCAGCGGCTCACAGGACTGAGATGGAAGTGGACGCTTTTACTCTGGCTGTCCAAGCCACACCTCCCAAAGCATAAGTAGAGTCCATCACAGGGATCAGCAGAGGCCTGGGCTGGGAGGTGACCAGCCTGGACTTCCGTCCAGATCATGCATTCGGAGCCTTCAGCCCTGGGTTCTCACTGAACACTGAGGTTCCCTCAGACCTTTCTCTTTTCTTTTTACCCTTTCAAAATTAAGATTATTTTTCCCTTTGAATAAAAATATAACACACATTTAGGAAAATCAGAAAGTACCTAAATGTGTAAAGAAAATGCAGACTGTCACCAATATTATGAACATTGTCCTCTAAATACTCCTTGTTTTGTACATACATCTATGTATTTCTAGTTATTCCTTAGAGTCTTCTAAGTAAAAGTAGAATTTCTACTAGTCAAAGGCACTAGATTGCTGAGTTCTTGGAATTTTCTAAACTGCTCTGCAGAAGAAGGCTTCACTAGCTCATCTTCCCTATCATAAAACACTTGTAGCACTCCTGTATTATGGTTTGACATTTTTTCTTTCTTTCTTTTTTTTTTTTTTTTTTGAGACAGAGCCTCAAGCTGTGTGTGGCATCACAGCTCACAGCAACCTCCAACTCCTGGGCTCAAGTGAGTCTCCTGCCTCTGCCTCCCAAGTAGCTGGAACCACAGGCGCCCGCCACAACACCTGGCTATTTTTTGGTTGCAGCCGTCATTGTTGTTTTGGCAGGCCTGGGCTGGATTCGAACTGGTCACGTTAGGTGTACATGGCTGGCGCCTTAGCCACTTGAGCTACAAGCGCCGAGCCTTTGACACTTTTTCTTGCCTATTAATACCTAAAATACAGGTGCATATTGTAAGCAAGGCCATTCTGGAGTTGCTCTGATGAAGGCTGCCATGGTTTGCCACCCTCCTTCCCCATCATCCTTATCTTCCACATCTTTAGAATGTTACGATTGACAAATTCCACTTATGTCCATTCTCTTTGCCCTTGAGAGATGGACTGGGCCAGCTTTCTCATTCCTGTGATCTATATAAAGCCTGATTTAGAACTTCCAGAAGTTTTTGACTCTGTTCTATCCTTAAACATAATTACTTCAGTCTCCAAAGCATTCTTGACCTGCTGCCAGAGGAAAAGGGTAGGTTGTTCTCCAGTGAAAGCTGCCTATGTGTGTGGGGGGTTGGGGGGGGGGATTGTGGGAAGGAGGAAATTAAAGAGCTTTCGCTCCATCAGGACCCAGCCCAGGGGCTGAAGGGGGTAAATTTTGCTGGTTCTGTGGCCCAGCTACCTGCTCTAAGGGAATGTGGGCTGGAGAAGAGGATGGGGGGAGCCCTCCCCCCAACTCTGGGTACACCAGCAGTCATCTGCACCTGCACACAGGTAGCTGTGTGTCCACACCGAGTAAATAGTGTGCAGGTGTGAGGGGTTGTTTGCTCAGGCCGGGGCACTGAGCACAGCCGTCACTGGAGAGGCTATTTTTACACCTGGGTCACACTGAGAGCCTTCCACCAAGGTCACCTGCCTTCCCAGCGGCACATGAAACCGACTGCAGCAGCTTGCTCCCACCTGGACCACCCTTGTCAGCACTGTCTTTGCCACCTCCAAGCCCTTTCCTGTGGCCGTCAGCCTGCTCCTCAATCCAGGCTCTCCCGTGAGGGAGCCAGGAGTCCACAGAAGGAAAAAATCCGCGATTGCAAAGCCAACCCCACACTCGGAGGGGAGCAGCGCTGGTAGTTTCGTCGTTTTGTCGGGTGGTCGACTAAACACTAGATGGCACCAGAGCCTGAAAATTGAAGACGCCGCATTCTAGCCTGAGTCACACTTGAAAGGTTCAGATCCTTTCCCGTCCATACCTAGTGCCACCCTCTTGTTCTATTTTACATGTTCAAAAGTGGACAGAATATTTAATTTACTCTTATTAAACCATTATAGAGTTTCCGACAATTCATAGTCTTAGCTACACCTCTGTCCGCTCTGCCCCATATTGTATTTTTGAGGAAAATCCCAGACATTCTGTCCTTTCACTCATACATAGAACGCAGCTCTAAAAGATGAAGATACACACCCTTCTTTAAAAAAAATCAGTAAAACAGCTTCTTTCCTACATTCTGGTTCATTTAAAAAATGAACAGCACAGTCAAAAATCTCGTGCTGTTCCTCTTCTTCGGAGGGGAGGTTCCCTTTTCTCTGCACAGTCACTGTTCCGTGGGCAGGGACAGAACATTATTAGCGGACCCTGCAGTCCTTGGAGGCCTCCTCTCTGCTGATCACTCACACTGGGCTTGGGAAAGGGTTGTGCATTCAAGCAACTATTCTACTGGCTAGGTAAAGTCATTGGAGGCTGGCAAATACTCATTCGTCCACAACAAATATTTGCTAAGCATCAGCTATTTAATCACTCACATGTCCCAGGAACGACCAGGGAGACTTGCTGTCAGAATGTTAATGATCTAGTCCATGAATTAGCCCTGCCTATCACAGTGAGCAACAGTTTTACTCAATTCATTTTCAGAACATACCCTCAACTGAGTCGGCCACTGGTGACAGATGCTACCTGTCTAGGGTAGTGTGACAGCCCCACCTGCCACCCAGCACAGCACAGGGGATCAGGGGCATGTTTCCTGGAGATGCCGAGTCAGATGACTCTCTCTACACCTTCAAATCTGCAGAAGTTTCCATATTTTTCACCAAAACATCTTGCCTTCCAATCTGCTCAGTGAAAAGTTTTTAATGATGATTATTATAAAGACAATGTATCCATAGAGGAAAAGGCTGACCCCATGATGTTAAATGAAAAATACAGCACATAAAACCATAGACACGGTAACGGCAGCTAAGACCACCAGGAAGCAGCTTTTATTACTCTGGTTAAATTATGTAGACATTTCTTTTTTTTTTTTTTTTTTTGAGACAGAGCCTCAAGCTGTCCCCCTGGGTAGAGTGCCGTGGCATTACAGCTCACAGCAACCTCCAACTCCTGGGCTCAAGCGAGTCTCCTGCCTCCGCCTCCCAAGTAGCTGGGACCATAGGCGCCCGCCACAACGCCCGGCTATTTTTTGGTTGCAGCCGTCATTGTTGTTTGGCGGGTCCGGGCTGGGGATTCGAACCTGCCACCTTAGGTGTACATGGCTGGCGCCTTAGCCGGTTGAGCTATAGGCGCCGAGCCTAGACATTTCTTTTTTAAAAACACCATTCTGAAATGTCATTATTGCCAATTTAAAAAACCTGATTAAACGACAGAAACAAAAATCTGTGCATCTATGCCCCATAAACTTATACCCTCCCCCCCCAAAATCTGATCACCCGAAGTAGCTCCTAGTCTGTACTGTGGAAGGTATTATTTTATACTATTACATCTGACACTTATATACAGAGGGTGCCACATTTTTAAAACAGGAGAGTCTGTATTAAAATTGTAATACTCAAGTTAGGTTTGACTTCTGCAATTGGAAGAGGTGCTCAATATGACTTGGATTCCTCTTTTGTTATTGGTATATATTGAGTATTGTAATTTTGTTTTTGAGATAGTCTCACTTTGTCATCCTCAGTAGAGTGCTGTGGCGTCAAAACTCACAGCAACCTCCAACTCCTGGGCTTAGGCGATTCTCCTACCTCAGCCTCCCGAGTAGCTGGGACTACAGGCTGAGTATTGCCATTTTAATACAGTTTTTCCTTTGCTCAGGTGTATGTACATTTTCTTGGTGCCATCTGTATTTTTCTGGGGCTGAGGAACAGAGAGAATGAAGTGCCAACCTTGCTGATTAATGCCTGTCCTGGGGGGTGGAGGAGTGACAGGCTGAGCCCCAAACCAGCACTACATTCTGGTGTGAACCTTGGTAACAATTAGTTCTCATTCCTTCCTAGGAAGGGCACTGGGTGGAAGTTTCCAGAGAGCAAGCATGACTCCTGGGGCAGGAGGGCACCGTGGAGGCTTCCAACCTCAGACTCAGACCCACCCTCAGTGCTGAGCATCTCGGATTGGTCCCGTCCCTTGGGAGGCAGTGGGAATCCAGCCCAGAAGTGGGCCAGCATGGGAAGACTTGTAATAATAGTTGTAAAGTGCTTTGCAAATGAGAGGAAAAACTTACAACAATGGTTGTAAAGAGCTTTGCAAACATCACAGGAGATAACAGTGATGGATTATAGTTGGGCGCTAGGGCTGGAGGGTTAGGAGGGAGGGTGTCAGGCCAGGCACAGCCCTTGGTGCAGGGTTATTGGGGAAAGGGGAGGACAAATAAACGAACTAGGAGATTGGGGAATCTGACCTTTCTCAATGTTAGGCCAAGCTCAGCGCTCAGCATGGCCTATTGCTCCCAGACTCTGCCAAGTTTGCACTGCAGGCCAGGAACCAAGTGACAGCAAGCCTGGTTGCAGATAATACTTCTGAGGTCTCCAAGTTGCTGCTCATGTGATACAGTCATTAATGATTTTTTTTTTTTTGAGA